TTAACAAGAAACAAACTTTTCATTGATAATATGAAAATGAAGAAAAAAGTTCAAGGATACACGAAAAATGAAAAAGAAAAAAAAACAAACAGCACATAGAAAACAAAAACCCATAAAAATATGAGAACTGAAGCCCAAGAACAAAAGCTCTGCGCCCATGGTTTTTCTTAAAAACCACCTCGAAAAACGGGCATCTTTCCCAATCTAACCTATAAATCGGTCGGTCAATCGGTTTTTCCTTATTTGGAACCGCCAACCGACCCAATAGTCGGTGACCGACCTGTAGCTGAAACCGACCGAACCGTTCGGTCGGGGCGGTTTTTCGGGGTATGATGCTCACCCCTATTCACACAGGTCATCACATGTTCCCAATATGTCTAAGATTCTGAAATTTGAAAAAGAAAATCTAAAAGATTAGTCATTCTAAATCACGTGTCGAACATATCTCAAGAGCATGTCCGAGCACGTCTATGTCTAGCAAATCTCTAAACTCCCATCAAAAGAGGGGGGAAAATGTAGGTAACTTAATTGTAACAGCAATATGTATAGTTCATTGTGAAAATCATGCATTCAAAAGCTACATATCTGTTCAATAATAAAGAATGCTCAATATATCAGGTGTTTTACCACTGCAAGAATTGTTTGTTATGTTTATATGAAGGTAATGAAGGTACTACCTTTTACTGGATCTAGGGCTGGAGGGTACTTCCCATCAGATTTTATATCCAAAAGCTGTTGAACTGTCTGGGAGTAAGCAACATTACTTACTTCTTCAAGAAGCCTACCTGGATCTAACTTTATCTTTTTATTGCAAATGCACAAAAATTCTTTGGCATCGACTCCTCTAACCTCATAACTTACGCCAGCAGCAGCACCGCCATGTGGTAATCTTATATTTACAACACCAGATCCTTTACGTGTAGATGGAGAATAGTAATCATTTTCAAGACCACGTTTTGACTTCGGTACCATAAAGTAACCTTGGGGAAAATCCTCTTTTTTCTTGTCTAAATCACCACTTGAAGAACTTTGGACAGGTGGTGAATCAGGTTTCAGCACCAGAACAATATATTGCTTGCTAGCCATGGAAAGGGCTTTGACAATGACTGCAAGTAAGTGATCTTTGGCCTGGTAACAGTGAAATTGAGTTTAGTACTTATATATTGTACCGATGAGCCATAAAACAAAATGAAAAAATAGAAATATTCCAAGGTTAAAATGTAATATAAATGAAATTCCACATCATATCATTTTCCAAAAAAAATGATGGCAAAACAAGCAATGTACATTTATTTGAAAACACTAATAAGAACTCACAGACGGTGATTTTACAACAACCACTCTTCCAGCAGTAAGAAATTGTTGAACTGCAGACGATTGCATGACTGCTTCTGAGATCTGGTTGCTATGCTTTTCAGCTACAGCATATAAGTCGTAGTATTCCTCAATGGTTGGCTCGCCTTTAATACATCTACAGTGGGAAAAACAGATTTATGAGTCGTTTATTATGCGTTCACTAGAATCTTTATAAGCCTCCAACGATTAATTCATGCCCCATGACTGCATAATTCCAAATATTAGAATGATATATAGGTGCCTGAAACAGGATCCATGATTGAAGTTATAAAGCAAGTTTTTTCCTAGCAATGTGAAACTGGTGTATGAAAATAAGATTTCAACTAATATTTCAATACGGACGAAAAACCACCTATTTATTTCAGATATGCTCCAAGCAGAATTTTTATTTGCAGATTACTCTTGTAGCTCCATTCGTCTTTCTTGTGAAGCTCTTATTTCTCTTCAGTTTCCTTATTTTTGTTATTTTATCTGTTTTCTCTCATTTGTGGGAGAATTTTTGTTCCTTTTCATCCGATCAATGAAAAGTTCGTATCTTGTACGACAAAAATATGAGTTCAGATGTCATCATAAGAGAAGGGTTGCAGGAGTCCTTACATGTAAATCAAATTAGGTCAATATCATAATGATAAGGAGGGGAGATAGAAACTCTGTTCTATTATTTATGTCCAGAGGTCATTACAAGGGTCAAGGGAGCATTAAAGAGCTCTCGTTCTTCTCCCAAAGGTCCTAGATGAAAACAGCCAAAAAGATAACCCTCTACCTCTTAACACAACGTACATACCCTAGCAAAATACCCCTACTGCCCTCTTACTACCATACAGGTCCCTCCCCCTTTTAACGTTTTTCTACCCTTACCCTTTTCTCATTTGTACAAACACGTCCTCTTCTTCTAGAATATACATTCTTCACCCTAGGTCTATCAATGGGTTGCACGGGCATGGTAGTAAGTATAAAAAGTGTGATGTGGTATACAGATACAAAGCTAGAAGCAAGAGTCAGGGTGATGTATTCAGTAGTTGCTATTAAAGCTTCTGTTATTAGCTTTTATTTTAAAACCTATGTGTTTTAGTTTTAGTTTTAACCCATGGTAACTTGGTTTACCTTTGTTAGTTGTAAAGCTTAAAAGTCCTATAAATAGGACTCAATTCTTTCAATAAGATTCATTCTTTCATTCTTAAAAGACAGCACTCTAGAGCTACATCAATTTTGGTATCAGAGCACCCCAAAATTCTGGGAACTCAATGGCGGGCAAGAAACCAACCACAGCGGAATCTTCCTTAGCCAGCAAAGAAACGGATCAGGCGACCGTTCTCTCACCACGATCGGCAACCGTACGCTTGCAGTCGGTTGAAGGGGATATGAAGATAGTCCAGCAGGAAGTGGGTGAGATTAAACAAATATTGGAAGTAATTCATGGCCAGCTGGAAAGGCTGAGTATTCAACAAAACCCAGCAAGAACAGGCCAAGAAATGCGGAGGACGGACAATCAGGGCGGTTATTATCAAGAACAACAAAGGGTGCAGCCAAGAAGACATCAAGAAAATGTTCTTGAACCAAGAATGCTCCAAGAACAACGGACAATCCGACAAGATTTAAACCAAAATCCCCTGTTTCAGCATAGGAATGATTTCTTCGTCGACTCTTCCAGTGGTGAAGATGATATGCCGGAGTTGGAAGAAGATCATAGGGGACGACGGGGTCATCAAAGACAGTACCAAGAGACAAACGAATATAAAATGAAGATTGATCTTCCAACTTTCAGCGGTAAGATGGAAATCGAGGGATTTCTTGATTGGGTAAAGAATGTAGAGAACTTTTTTAGTTACATGGGTACACCTGATCATAAAAAGGTTCAATTAGTAGCATTTAAGCTGGAGGGGGGCGCCTCTGCTTGGTGGGATCAGTTGGAAGTCAATCGGCGTCGTTATGGTAAAAGACCCATCCGTACATGGGAGAAGATGAAGAAACTGATGCGTGAACGATTTCTGCCGATAAACTACGAACAGATCCTATACAATCAGTACCAAAACTGTAAACAAGGTACACGCTCGATTGTAGATTATGCTGAAGAATTTCACAGGTTAAGCGCTCGGACAAATTTTGGAGAAAGTCAGCAGTATTTGGTGGCTCGTTTCATTGGAGGATTAAGGACAGAGATAAAAGAACATTTGGCCCTCCAACCAATTGGATTCCTCAATGAGGCTA